TGTCAAAGCTATGACTTGTCAAGTCCTTGAAACTTGATTTACATTCAAGAATCCAATTCCTCCTCCAAGCTACCCCATATATTTATTGGATTAATTTCTATTCTTTTAATACTTTAAAGGAAATTAAATGATGTCTGTACCTAGCCCAATGCACATAAAAATCAATACTTTATATGATGTTAAGACTCAGAAATTATTATTAGGACACTGAGAGACCGAACATCGCTTTCCACAATAGGGAGGGTCCCTTCCACTCATATCTTGACACTGTCAAGGTGGGAGACATTATAGTTGTTTCTGATTCCATTATTCCTGTTCTTTTCTCTTTACATACATGCCAAAGAAATGTCCTCTGTTCTCATGAATCTATCATCACTAGATCTCTTCACTAACCACTGAATATTCTCCATTAATCCTCTTTCACTCCATCTCTAACACAGCTTTGGATTTCCCAATTGATAGCCAAGCATACACCATTCTTAATGTCATTCAAGAATGAGGCTGCTTAAAACAAGATGTAGCTACTCATCTTCATCTCACAATCCTCCCCCAAGGGCCAGTTAATCAATCATAGCGAGCATTTACCTGATTTCTGAAGCAAGGGAATTCAGAATAGTCCTACTCATCACCATCTTTTTCTTCGCAGCAGCCCATAATCAAATCCTGATGTTTGATTCTTTGCAAAAGCCCTTATTGTCATCTCTTTATTTTCAACTTTTCTCCTAGATTAGACCCTGATCATTTCACAATTGGACCAAGGCCAACTTCTCTTCCCTGGCCTCCTCATGTCTACCCCACATCCACCTACCCACCCCATTCATTCAGAACATGAAACATTTTAAATTATTTTCTAAAAATTCATTAGCACTTTAAAGTTACAACTTTTAAAATCAGCTTAAAATTATATTATTCCACAGGCATATCTCTGAGATGTTGCAGCTTCAGTTCCAGACCTCCACAATGAAGCAAATATTGCAATAAAGTGAGTCACATGTATTTTTTGGTTTTCCAGTACACATAAAATTATATTTACACTATACTGTTGTCTATCAAGTGTGCAACAGCATTAAGTCTAAAAATATACATGCCTTAATTTAAAATACTGTATTGCTAAAATAAATGCTAACTATCATCTGAGTCTGTTGGAAAAACAGTGCCAATAGACTTGCTCAATGCTGGGTTGCCACAAACTTTCAATTTATAAAAAATTCAGTATCTGGGAAGCACAATATAATGAAGCACAATAAAAGGAAGTATGCCTATATTTGTACATTTTGAAAAATTTTAATGTTTCCCCTTTTTATCCTCATAAGAAAATTTCAAATATGCTGAGATATTTGATACTACAACAACCTTATATATCCACTTCTCAGAGTAAACAATTGTTACAATGTTGCAATATTTGTGTGTAAATGCATTTGAAGATAAATTATAGACATAACGGCGTTTTACCCTAAGTTTTTCATTTATCTTTTAAAAATAAAAACACTGTCCTACAAACCCTAATACCATTATCACACCTAAAAAAGTAATAATTCCAAAATGTCATCTAGTATCTAGTCTACATTAAATTTCCCCAATTGTTCCCCAAATATCTTCTAGAGGTGGGTTGGCTTTTGTTGTTGTAACTCTTTAGTTTCTTTCTAGAAAAGTCATTCTACTTTTTTCCCATTGTATGATTTTTCTTAAGAAACCGGGCAATAATATCGTATACTATGAATCTGCCTGATGGGGGTGAGTAGGGGTTATATTTTTAGCTTGTTTCTTTACCCTCAATACTCCCTATCAGGTGGGGTTAGGTGTAAAGGCTTGGTTAGACTCCGATTAAACATATTTGGCATGGTTAGTTTTAGGGTGATATGCAAAGTTCATACTGGATCACACCAGGGGGCACATGAGGTCAGTTGTCCCACTTTTAATGATTCTGAGTTTGATCACTTGATCAAGGGGGCTTCCCACTATTCTGCCTTGACACCAAGTCATTTCGATGGCCCTGTGCCTCGGGTTTACGAGGCTCCATGCTGTGCAAACATCTGCCAGGAATCCTGGGCCAGTTCACATCTCCAGTCTCTCTGATACGTCTTCCTCACCCATTTCTTGCCAAATTCTCTTTCCTCTGTTTAATTATCCTCCCCCTTTTCTCTGTGACTTTGGCTTCCTAACCAACTGCCCATTTTCCTCCACCACCCAAGCAATTTGTGAAACTCTATTCTATGAAGCTTCCCAGGACTTACTAGTAAATACATTAATCACAGTTCATGCTGGGTTCTCAACCCCAAGCTTTCTGCCTAATTATTAGAATGTGCCACAGAAACAAGGCCTATTTCTGCCAAATTGGTTTTGTATATGCCCTTTTATTGTAGCACATAAACATAGATGCTTACTGATAACTCCATGGCATTATAAGTCTCAATAGTTGAAATCTGCAGCTAATAAGACTATTGCCATGAGCAAAGCACTAATGAGCATTCATGCAGCTGTTTTTACCATTCATTTAGAACATCCTTTTTTAATATATATTTTTAATTGGTTTCAGAAAGTAAGGGGGAGAAAGAGAGAGAGCAATAGAAATATCAATGATGAAAGAGAATCATTGATCGGCTGCCTCCTGCACACCCTCTTTTAGGGATTGAGCCTGAAACCCGGGCATGTGTCCTGACCAGGAATCAAACCTTGATCTCATGGTTCATAGGGTGATGCTCAACCACTGAGCTACTCAGGCCTGGCTTTACCATTCATACAAAATCTACCTATACCTCCCCCTCTAGCTGGGTATGCAAACCAACCATAGCAAGAAAGCACAAATGTTTTCAAACATCTTTGTAGGATACATCTTATGTAACTATTCACCGGTAATGTATTTTTTTCAAGATTGTTCATTATTATTTTCTATAATTTGGATCATCCTAATTGCACTAATTAATCTGGCGATCATAGACATCCAGCACCGTGTCTCACCAACAGGAGACAAATATATACTAAGAATGTTTTCTAAAACCAGGTCTTATTTTGAAGCTTCATATTAGTGACTACACCTGCAAAAAGAATTAAGACTTGAGATTGCTCTCTGGATCATTCAGACCGAATACCAGAGAGGCATGCAGATAAAGCAGAAGTATTCCACTGAGTTTGAATTATTTAAGTAACTCCCCCAATTAGCCAATTCATTTTAATTATATGGTCCAGCTTAGGCTGAAAAGTAAATAATGCTTTAATCTTTTTTAGTTAGCACATTTCAGCCTAATATTACACAAGAATAACAAGTTTGTGAATACTTCATTTTCTTGCTTTTTATCATCTGTGTTCCAACTTGGAAACGGGAGAAAGGCACTGGGCACACAATTTTAAAAGGATCTGTTTTTTCCTTCCTCATAACCAAACTAAGGTGAAATGACTAAACAATGCAAATGGCACCAAATTCATCCTCTCTCTCCAAAGCTGGTCCAGGGCACAATTTGTGAGGTGCATGAAGTATATCTTCAGCCCCACCGCCCCTATAAAAAGCTGCTCTTAGCACAACCATCAAGACTTTACTTCAAAGCTAAACTTAAATCAATCCTGTTCCTTCTCCCAAAAAGTATTTGCTTCAACGTGGTCTTCAAAAGCTGTGGCAGGTTTAGGAGGCATTTCAAGTACCTGAGGGCTACACCTATTAACCTATTAACCGGCAAATACTACTACACAACGAAGATTGTGTTTGGGGAGATCAAGCCTTCCCTGCCTTACTGAAGTTACATGACATAAACAATCACTGACTATTATTAAGTTTGAGACTATGGATAGATGAGTATCTTCTAAGCTAGCATTTGCATAGTTTTACAACATTTGCAAAACAGTGCTCAGATTACCTTGTCTAATCTTAACAAAACCCAATATTCTTGTCTCCACCATAGAGATAAAAAGGCTGGTTCCCTGCTACCAAGGTCTAGGCCCCTAGCTATAGCCAAGATCGTATAACTCCATATGGGTGCTCTTTCCACTCAGGTCTACAAACCAATTTTGCCTTCTTTCCCTGGGAGAAAGGTGATAACTCTACTATGGACTTGCCCAGAACCTAAAAGTATTTTCCAGGTTTCTAAAGCAACAACAATTGATTCTTATTACCCTCAAATATTTCACACACACAATATTCTTTCAATATTCAGGTAAGAAGAGAAACATAATAAATTCACCTCACTTACTCTTCTCATGTGAGGCTGAAATCATGATCAAGTGACAGGAGGAGAACCACAGGACAAAGCTATGTCATAACCACATAATCCCAAAGCAGTCAGCACAAAGTGGTTTGGGTAAAAGAGCCAACATTTTTGTTGCCTCATGGAGCACTTTTAATGATGAGTTTTAAAAGAAAATCAGTCTCCCTTCTACTTTACAATATAGATATAGGCCTAAAGTTATATGTAAATCCAGTGCTATTTAAAATGCACTTCAAACATCTCAGTCATTGCCAATCCAGTTATGAGTTTTAATAAAGAAATTAAAAGATCACAAATTATTATTGTGTGATGGGTTCAAACCCAACTACACCTATTAACCTGCAACTACTACAAAAAGGCTAAGTATTTTCAAAGCCTTTGCAGAATATATCTCAAGCCTGTCACATGTTTTACACACAGATCAACTTAACTGGAAAACAGAAAAGGCAGTCAGGGACGTCCAGCAGCGTTTCTGGAAGGTCACTACTTAAACATTATCTTACAGAGCAGAGGTTGGAAAGCTTTTCCTGTAAAGGGCCTTGCCGACCATATTTCAGGCTTTGCAGATCATACGATCTGGTTGAAACCGAGCCATTCAACCATTAAAAGCCTGAAAGCAGGACAGGCAATATGTAAATGAATGGATGTGGCTGCGTCCCAATAAAACTTTATTTACAAAAACAGGCCCATGGGTCAGTTGGCCAAGCCCTTCTATAGAAAGTCATTTTACCACGTCTGGCTTTCCTGTGAAAATGAGACTTTTCTAGAAAGCACTGCGGAAACAGGCTGGGCAGTGTTGCTCACCTGGGACCCGACGGTTTCCTGGAAGCAGCGGCCAAGCTGAGTCTTCGCAGCCACAGGATAGATGTGAGGAATGACTTGCTGGTGGGAGTACGTGGAGTGGACGGTCTGGGTCTTCTGGACGGGAAGCCCTTGGTAAGAGATCTGGGATTGGCCTGGTTGGGCTTCTTTTACCTTCTGGCCAGTTGGGCCATCGATTCTTGAAACCTGATGTATCTGGACTGAGGCCTCTGGGGGATGCTTCACGTGGATATTGACTATGTTGGGAGGAAATTTCACTGAAACAGATTGGGAGTAAAGACTTGTTAATCATGACGAATTAGCATGCGAGTCAGCGTGAAAGTCAATTTTACTCACATATATACTTATATGCATATGTATTATACATAGGAAAAACTATACAAATGTAATATATACATATATTTGTCACACAGCCATCAAAATAAGTGAGGATAAAAGGATACATTTAATATAAAAATTAAATCTGAATTTATGTTTTAAAAAATCAACTAATTACAAAGCGAAATTAAAACCTCTCGCAGTAACATATTCACTAAGATAATTTTTTCAGGTGAGTCATAAAAGTATGAAATTCATGCAGCTTATGGGGAAGTACATTTTATCAAATAATAGTAATAAAGACTCAAACGTTGGATTACTTTTAAACTTCTCATTAAGTTCCGATTGCAAAGTTGTGGAATATACTTTTCTACACTAAAAGAGGAAACACAATTTCACAGAGCACAGTTCTCTTGCCCTTAAATAACATATTGTGGATATACGTTGGTGCTCATTGGGACACACACACGAAATACCGAAGTGTGCTATTTTATATCTGTAACAAGACTCACTTTCTGCCACTTTCAAACACAATTTCATCTTCTGATGCTAACATTCAGGTTTTAAAAAAATAACGGCCAGTAACACTCTCTGACCCCTTTTTTAAAAACTGTGCATGTCTAAGAGATGCCAGGTTTAAAAGAATGAATGAGTCATAGAATTCCTGAGCTCCAAGTGACCTAGTTTACCTTCCTCTACAGAAGAATATACTGAAGCCCAGTGAGGTTAAGTGATCATTTCGAACTAAAACCAGGCACTCTTCAACTATTAAATACACTCGTGCTCATCAGCAGGACCAGTGTGATCACTAGCTCATTAATGCTATAAGGACCCCAAATTTCCAACTCGTCTTTCCATGCCCCGGGCCCGGCCAGAACAGGCCAGCATATTCATCAGCTCTGGGCGCTATGAGTCATCAGAGAAGGACAGACTCCTTTTTGTTTTCTATTTCTTAGATACCAAATCTCTATGGCCTAGAAAGCACTTCAGCCACATACCTGGGCCCACATTCTGTCCCTACTGTCATTGCTCAAGCCACAGGTCACATACTCCTTTCTGTTTCAATACCAGCCCTGGCCATCTGCAGGTACTTGGCTTCTGTGGGTTTGGCAGGCTAGAAGAGGTCTGACGAATGGGAAAAATCAAAATCTTAAGCTTACCTTTGACTCCTTGCTGACTCGTCATCGTCAGAGGCAAAGTATGTGTAGAGTGGACGACATGCGTTCCCAGCGCCTTGCCTGACTGCTGGGAATGCTGATAAAGTTTAGGAACGCTGGCACCATGGACTGGAATCTGGCAAAGCTTCCCCGTGAAGTTTGGAGGGCACTGGCATTTGTCCCTTGAGCTGCACTGGCCACCATTCATACATGGAAGATGGCAAATTACTGAAAGGGAAAAGAGGAATTGTGGAGAATTGGTTAGTTTCTCAAGTGCTAAATCACAGTCAACCAACAAAACTTCCAGAAACACAGCACCATTACAGCCATCATATTTCTACTGACTTTGAAACAGTAAACGAAGAAGTAACTACACGTTGGCAAAAAAAAGGTCTCCATTATTCACGGTCTTTGTTTTTCCATCCTAAGTCATTTAATTCTCCAGTTCCTTGCGGTGCTCTCCCCCAACAATGGAGAGAATTCACGGGAAAAGAATATATAAAGGAGCCACTGAGGAATACTGTCTCACAGTGCCCTTTGAGTATCTCTCGCCTTCTGTAATTACTTTTTCCTATTCAATTCCTAGCTTATTAGCTGTCTCTCTAGATTATAAACTCTTGAGAAAAGGATATGTTTGGCTTAGTAACCTTTACATTCTCAGCACCTAGAATAATGCCTGGTACACAGTGGACAGTAAACATTTCCTCAAAGAATAAACAAATGAGAATACTAAAAATAATATCTGCGGAGAATATAATCTGAATAAGGGAGTAGAAGAGTTTGAATCTTGCTTTCCCAGAATTTGCCATCTCACTGGGATAACAAGACCACAGTGAAACCTAAAGACACAGAATGATTAGTAGTTTGGAATGTAATTTATTTAGAATACCGAAAGATAAAAGGGCACACTGGGTAAGGCATTTTCAGAGGTGTTTTAAATTCTGGTGAAATTCAGCTTATGGCCAACCTCTTTATCACTAATGAATTCTTCCTATTGGCATTTACACATGAGCAGGTTTCCACCAGCTTAAAAAATACAGACCCCTCAACTCCATTTCCTTCCACGATTAAACTTTCCAAAAGAATTGTCTGTTCACTTCTCCACACACTCCCTTTCCCCACCCCTCTTCTATGGAAACTACTCTTCCTGAAGCCACTAATGGTCTCCACATTGCTGAATCAAATGGACAATTTCAAGTCTTCCCTCGGTTTCCATCACATCTCACTCATCTATTTTGATCATTCTTCTTTGCCCTTTCCATCTTAACATTCTTTACAGAATCTACTCTTTATTTGCCCTTTAAACACTGATATGCTTTAAGATTTGTTCTTAAAATCCTCTTTTTTACTATCTCTACACACTCTTCCTCTATGATTTCAACCTGTCATATGTGACAATTCCCAAATTTCTATTTCCTAGGAAGAGATTTCTGCTGTGCTCCAAATTACTACTACACATTTTCACATAGATATTCCACAGACATCTCAAACTCAACATGTCCAAAACATAACTCATCATCTTCTCTCCAATGTCTCCATTCACCGAGTTAGTGGTCCTTAACAGCTCTGCCACCTGGCCCATCCATACTCCCAGTCCTGGAAGTCCTCCCTTCTCAACATCCATCAAATATGTGCACTTCTATCCCATCACAGGGCCCCTGTTCCCTTTAATTAGTCTTCACTTATGAGTCTCACCTCATTCCCTACAATCATGCTACATGGAACTTTATTCAGTTCCTCAATGTGTAAGGCCCTCTTGCCCCCCGAAAGCTTTATCCATGCTGTGTCCTTGGCCTGGAACACTCGTTCCATTCAGCCCCCTCACCCATCAAACTCCTACTTATCTTTTAGACTCTGCTTAAACCTCACATCTTCTAGAAGCATTTGCTATTGCCTCTCATCTAGGTTTGGTGCCTATGTAGGCCTCCAAGGACTCTCATTCACTGCCCATCCTGCCACTTAGCTGAGTGCCTGATGACCTTCCTGTATGCCTCATTCAACTAGTGCTCTGTGAGGTTAGAGACCTCATCTTTTGTTAACCCCTAACATGCAACTCAGCTTCTAGAAGAAATGCTACAGCTCAAAATAGTACTGGATGAAAAATGTATGCCTACCACTCAGTCAAACACCAGTGTAGGTGCTACAGAAGATTCAGTCCCTGCCCCTAGGACCGTAAGCACTAACTGGAGACCGTAAGCACTAGCATGCTAACTAAAACCACAGATCACCAAATATGTGACAGTTGGAAAATATAAACTACAAATCGTTTGGAACTTCAGAGAAGGGGGAGTCATTTCTGGGAAATCAAAGTAGACTGAGTAGGAGGGATCATTTGGGGTAAGTCTTTGAAACTGGGCAAGATTCAGAAAAACAATGGATTGCTTCCTAGGAGGACAGTATGTGAAAAGGACGGGAGGCAGGCATATTTGGGAGATAATGAGAAAAATTTTCTGTTGAAACCTCAGATTCCTGAGGGGGAGGGGTCAAGTGATAAATAGAAGGTAGAGGCTTGCGTCAGCCAATGGATCAAGGCCCAATAAAACGTTTGGATTTTATTTTGTAATTATTAAGTTATTTTTGAAACTCCAAGGAGAGAACTAAACAAGGCTGAGAGAGTGTTCCAGGAAGATGACTCGTGATGGATGAGTTGCGATGGAGAGTGACTAGGTGGAGAAGCCAGTTAGGAGACCATTAAAATACAAGCTGAAAAACACATGGATGAGGACGATGGCAACAAGAGTTGAAAGAAACACAAAGCGTCACAATGACAGAGGGAGAATCGGTGCAACACGACGACGGGACAGAGAGTGAACAGCAGGCCAAGGGAGAGTTCAGACAGTGGAGGAGGAAGGGGAGCCAAAAAAATGACCAAGGGCAAGAAACTGTGTCCAGCATCGATGTGGCAGTTCAAGCCAAAACTGCCCTTGCTGAACGGGGTCTGAAGTAAGCTTTCTCCAGGGCCGATGTCCTCTGAGGTGCCGGGTAAGAGAAGCGTGTCAGAGTGGACTCCAAGGTTGAGTCAAAGACTTCATAACTCTCACGTCAACTCTGAACCGAACTTCTAAATCACAGCTTGGCTACCCGGGATGGATTCAATGTGTCATGGGCAAGGGGAGCCAGGCCAAGATTGAAATGTACTACAAATAATTTATAACCGGAATACAGGCACCACTCACTCTGCATGGTTCCAATATGCATGAATTTCAGTTTCCGCAGTTTAAATAACACCAGTTCCCCAACAGTATGGTTCAAACGTCAGTTGCCATAGTGTATTAGCTGTGAGTAATTGCATAAAGTATAAACTTCACTGCTAGCTCTTTGGTCCACAAACACTGCGTGGATAACAGATGTGTATGGTGATCAGTAACCAATCATGTCACTTCCTTCAAAGTCTGCTGGTGACTGATCCCTGCACATCTGTTCTCAGTTCACGCACAGACAGAGAAGCATGTCGTTGTGTTGCCTCCTCATCGCACAGTGATAAAATCAATAACATTTCACAGAAGTGGATAATTAAAAGGGTCAACGACAAAAAGTGCCGCAAAAAAATGACAGGCGGTTAACACTGGAAGTGAAATTGGAAAGCGGTTGTGGTGAAAAGGATGATGATGTGCCAGAGGAAGTGACATTAAAGGAACCCCCGGACAGCTCTGAAAGCACAACGGGTAAGATGTTGGCAGCTGATCCAGACGTGGAAAGGAGTATGACAACCGACTAAGGCAAAGAAAAAACACTCCATATCATGTTATACAGTGGGAAGAAAGCAAACATTTTCTAACTACTCTTGATAAGTTCTACTCAGAGAAACAAAACACTTTAATTCTCAGTGTTTCTAACATTTTCAATTACAGGGCACTAATTAAATATTAGCTTTACTATTTTTTTCCATTTCCATCTACATTTATAACCTACAGTAAAAGAGTTTTAATAAAAAACGTTTTCAAGGTCATGGAACTTAATAATTCATTGATTAATAAGGTCATTTTGCACATGGCCATTTTGCATTAGCTTGCACGATCATTTTCATGGTCCTGTACTACCATGCAAAGATGACTATATAATCAATACTAAAATAACTTCACATATGCAACCATCTTTCTTATAAACAAAAAACAACTGACTTTTACTAGATATTTGTAGTATCAATAGCAGATTTTGAAATTAAACTCAAACTTAATCAGTTTTGTTTAAATCTACCTTTAAACCCAAGATAGCTTCCACACAAATGTTTCAAGGACTGCCCAAGTCTAAGTGGACACAGCCATAAACCCAGAGGAGAACTCCACTACCCCTGTATCTCTCTGCTCAGGCAGGAAACAGCGCCTGCCTGACTTATTCCCATCAATAAAAGGCCACTATTGCTAATCATTTATGAATGAGAAAGTAAATATCTATTCTACCGTTCCCACATTTTTTTTAAATCTAAATTACAATATAAAGTTCTTTGCCTCGGCTCAATAAATACACGTTGAATCCTTTGTGGCAGGTGATCTTTTTATAGCTAAATAGTCTTTTATATCAAAGAAAACAAATCGAAAATCAACCTACAAACTTAAGGATTGAACTATGAATGATTTCTTTCTGTTCCAAAAGTTCATGCTTTGACCTTTTGCCTAATGATCTATAGTCTGTGTTGCCAGTGTTCTAGTAAGCCTTCTCAAGGCATACAGAGAAAGAGGACTAAGTTCTCTTTAAGGCTGACTTGGGAAGCTTGTGGTATGCTGGCTGCAAGTCTAGCTATGGCACATATATTTTAGAACATGTAACTAGAGGTGTCACACAGAATGCTGGCTGAGAAAGCCCATAACTTTATCAGCTTGATATTTAGCGGGCCATCCCCATAACTCACTACACTGCATGCTAGGTCACCTGGGACCTACTGAAAATAACAAGAGATCTATGGGCCTCCAGCCTGTTATTCTATAAAGTATCATTTCATCCCAGCCACTCAATGCATCTCACGGTACTGCTACAAAAGGTCAACGGGAGCAGAAGGATCCATGCTGGAGGTTTTAAATATGTCAAGTGCTTCTGTGCGTCCCACCATTCGTTCTGGTCTATAAAACAACTTGCAGCACTCCGGCAGCTGAGCTGACAGAATCATAGTCCCATTCTATATGGCAAGCTGGTACTTAAATGAATCGATACTAGTCACTTGTACCCAAATACGGGCAAAATGAGTTTTCTAAAGATTTGTACTATAGAAAGCCATACCCGCTCTGTCTTCC